TCTACATGTGTTTAGTATTTTTAAAAAATAAACATTTAGTGGTCATAAATTATGGATCTCCCAGTGGGCGGCTTAAATTATTGCAGATGATTCCTTCGCATCCTTGCAGTTCACAAGGCAAAAACAGCAATCCCAATTTGTATTAAAAAGCAAAAACACATTTTCGTTTTGAGTCATTGACGCAAAGCAATTTTTGCATTTTAGTGTCAAGATGCTAATGCTTCTTCTTGTGTATTTTGGCACTGGCGGCCTCCCTCAAATTTTTTCAGGGTGGTGCAGGGTGGTTGGGTGGTGCTTGTCTACACGAGGCAGCAACAATTATTGCTTGCAATGGGCTATTTCAAAGCTGCCGCCACAATGCGATGTGCGAGGTCCTTCTCCGCATCCGCACCTGCACCACCATTACCGCCAAAATCAGCACCACCACCACCACTGAGCTCAACCCGTTGTCGCTGCCAAATAGATGGCACTTTGAATGGCACATTTTGGTGTGTAGATACGAGGGGTGGCTGTGACACAAACGCAGATCACGGGGAAGGCGCAAAACACGAACCGCTTACGTAGTGCGTATACCTGAGCCCCCAAGTCGGTTAGTGGATCAACTGCAAATGACTTTTCTATACGTCTCCTGTTCACTTGCACGACAGATCATAAATCATCGTTTCCGATGGCCAGCTCAAAACTTATTAGCATATTAATTAGCATTAATTATCTAGTGCTTTTTATTTTAAATTAAAATAATATTTATTGAAAATGTATTATTGTACTTTAATGGACTTGTCTTGGTGCTGTTGTTTTTCAAACAACATTTTTAAAAGGCATAAAAACAAAAAAAAAAATTGTTTCGAAATATATTTACTTGTTTGAAATGCAAAATATTATAAAACGATTATATATTAATGAAGCAGAAACTGATTAAAGATTAAACCAAGCAACGGATCAAATTTTTTTTAAAAACATATATGCGAATGACCTAACTATAGGCATTATGTTAATAACAGACACGAAACATGTAACAAGTTTGACAATTAACTAACTAAAAACAATTACTACAACAAACTACTCTTAGAATAATTTAATAAATAAATAAGTGTGTATGCCAAAATGGTTTTGAACTTTGTTTCTGAGACGTACTGTATCGATCAAAGTAAAAGTCTTGGCTCAAAAATGGGTGCAAATGCATTCCTTTCAATTGTTTCCCGCCCAATCGGTTTCTTTTCAAAATATCAGTAACCCTGCCCGAATTTTTTGTTTCAAGTGGTATTCCCGAAAAATGCTGCACAACCAACTGGTTCATATATGAAGAATGAAAATATTTTAAAAACGCCAACCGTGACCAAAATACATACATATTCTATAGATAACTCTCGTCTAAATGCATTGGAACTCATCCAAATTGTCGATATAAAAATATCCATCGTCGGCCAGTTGCTCCCCAGTTCCCAATCCGCAGTCCCCAACCCCCAAACCGTAATCCGTGATCCTCGAGCGCCGATCGTCGGTCAACGTTGTGCATTCGGCGGCATCTGCACCGCATCTCTGGTGCACCGATCCGCGGCGTATTTTTGCCATGCCCACACCCAATGCCCACCCGAGAGATCTCTCTTAATTTCGCAAAAGATTTAAGACTCAGCGAGGTGGTGAGGACGCAGGAGTGGGCAGTGGGCAGGGGAGGTGGGTTGCCAGGTAGCACATGGCATGACAAATGAATGAATACTTCCTGCATTACGTGTGGGTTATGCAATTGTGGTTCTGGCCATCCTTCGAAATATCTGGTAATTGAGCATCACGCCAATTCTTCTCGAAATGGAACGATCGAAGGGAAACATGACATTTGCACTTGCAACTGTCAATCCTAGAGTTAATATACTCGTATACTAAATGTGTTCATAAATTGGCGATGGGATTCTTTGTTTTTTGATTGATCACTTATAGGGAAAACATTAAAACAAATATTATTCTTATATAATGCATAAAATTTGAATATGCATATAAAAAATTGGTTTTATTTTATTTATTTATTAAATTTTTTCCTTAATATTTCGAAAATTAATTCAGAACTAAATTAAATGGAGAAGAAAAAAAAGCAGGTAATACTTACGGATATTTTAAAACATTGGAAAAAAAATTTTTAAGATATGTAAAATTTAAATTTGGACACTTTAAGATGAATTTATTTGCTCTTGATATATTTTGTAAAAAAATAGTTTCTTTGGAAATGAAAATATTCAATGGATCTTAAAAACTATAATTTTTTGGGGTGCATAAATTAACTTTTTTATAAAACAAATATTTAAGTATTTTCTTAAAAATCCGATAATAGTAGAGAAACCTTATCTAAGCATCGAAGATTTAAATTATTATTTAAACTATTCATTTTAAAAATATTAATAATAAATAGCTATAATTGAAGAAAATAATTTCAATTTTGGAATATCAACCAATATTATAAATTAAAATGCTGAATATTAATTTAACTGAATGTTATTCAAAAATTCATTTTTAAAGCTATGATATCATTTGGTTACACTATTTCCATCGTGGTAAACATCTTGTGGATCCTGCCTAAAACCAAAATGTTTATTTTTCTAATACACAATTTTGTTTAGATATTTATGCAATCAATAAAACAGAAAACGTTTTCCAGCCCTCAACTGGGTGTTGATGTGGACCCGTGTGGTCTGAAATGATTAATTGCCTTGGCTCAATTAAAAATCGCACACGCATAATGCAAAACCAATCCGCTGAATATTTCTCTACTTAAAATTGAACTCATATTTGTGTGTAGATGCCATCTATCGCTTATTAATTAGGCAATCCAATCGAATCATTAAGTATTAGTCACTGATGTGTGGAGCATTAAAAATTATTTCTGTAAGCATTTGTCACCCAATTAAAGCGACTGCAGCCAAGTAGCCAAGGCAGCCAACCAAAGAATCGACTATATAGCGGCCATACTTTAGAACTCAAGTGCAGCGAATTGCAATAATCGAAGTCTATATAGCGACGAGACTTTTATTAATGATCAGTGAAAATGGGAAATGAAATTATTTTCCATTCGGACGGTGGGCAATTCCCCCCTCTTCAGACGCCTCTGCGCGTAATGTGTGTATGCGGTCTGATTAATCATGTACAGCCATATAGACAGCATGGAAATGAGTCAGTACCGAGCCGAATGTAAAAGTATTTTTCGATTTTGTTTTTAAAAATTTATGAGCGACAAGCAAAGTGTATTTTTAAAACATATTTCATACTCCACAAAAACGCGAGGGAACAACATATGTATGTGGGTCGGATCGGATATGTATTTTAAATTTGAAAGTTTTAGGGGCAGATATAAAAAAATAATGAAACGGCAGGTAGAGTTCTTCATTTATGTATCTGGTGTAGGACCTCGTACTAGTTTTATATATGGTGGATTCTCTATATACCTTGCCAGCATACCTACTAAATCTAAAAAACATTTCATATGCGTTTAATATAGCCGCCGCTGTGGTCTATATTTAAAACAAAAGCTATTTAGTTGCGAAGAAGTTCAACACAGGCAAGCGTTCTCCTCGCTCTACTCTGCAGTTCTCTATGTATACGAGAGTATCTAAAATTTAAAATTTACTAGATACACACTCGCACACAGGGACCGCGTCCTGGGCACTAACTATACGGATCCACGGGCGCAGAACGCATACGCCGTGTGGTACGCGGACCGACAAGTCCGTCAACATATCTCACAGATACAGCAGATACACAGATCTGATGCGATCGTATCTGTGTCCGACTAGTAAAGAAACACTCTTTTTTTCTTTATTTTTTGCCGTGCTCGTCAGCACGTCCATGTCCACGTTGTGTTGGTGTTTTCATCTCATGAAATGTTTCAATTTGTCTATTTTTAGTAGCAAGTTTCTTTTTGTTTATTAGTTCTTCTATGTTTTTTTTTTTTAGCTTTTTTTCTGCCGTTTTTCTTTTTTGACTTTCCCAGCATGTATATAGGCGATTATATAGGGGTTTGGATATATAGCAGTGGGTCGTTTTGGGGCGATGTTTCTGCTGCTCTGATTTAACGTCACAACTGAGGAATGTCTCGTACTATTTTTCTCCTCAATCTGGCTGGATCCACCAAGCATTGTTTGTTTGTGCCACGAAAGCTTCGGCTATATATCCCGATGTGTTTATATAGTTTCCAAATACATGCCTTGCTAATGGCTAGGTGTTTTGCATAGATTTCGCTTTGGCTGTCTATATGGTCAAACTATGGCCGTGCGAGGTGCTTTGATCACAGGCTAAGGTATCGCAAAATGGGTCTTTATATAAGGCTTTGTTTTGACTAAGATATGTTTTTTATGTGTTTAAATAGGATGAGTATATTATCACTTAGTTCAAAGCAGTAATCATTAGTATTATGTATTTGCTCATCAATAAGATTTATAATTGTTCCTTTTTTAATTGGTTTTCTCTAAATAATTTTATTTAGCTCTGTAGTCTGTATTAAATTTGTTAAGGAATACAATTTCTTAGGTATTTATAACTTTATTTCGCTAAAGTTAAATATTTTATTTAACCCAGGCAAAATACTAAGCCTTTTGTTGTAAAGTTTTCCATAAAAACCGCATATCAAACCATAAATTTGTTTACATGGCGCTGATTTCAGTTGTAGATACAGGTACTTAAGATATGGCGTTGCTATCTGCACCAGGCATACACAATTAAAAACAACATGTTTTGGTAATGTTACGCTTAGATTCGCGGTACTACAATGTTTTGCAAACAATTGACATAAGCACCATACACAGGGTCATATACATGTTCATACACATGTCCTGCTTGATAGTGTCCATCGATGGGAACTTTATCGTTACCACGGGACGTAAATCAATTTGAGGTTTATCTTGACTTGCTTATCTTATCCTGAACTCGCGCAGACCGCGTTCCCAAAGATATTGGCCCTCAGCCATGACAGAAACTGGTATCCAGCAACCTCACTCGAGTTTCACTTTCCGCACGCCATGGGTTACTGGTCGGAGACTCGGGCCTGGCTCTTCCGTGATCCAGCCAAGCTCATCCGCTACCTGGTGCTCTTCGCCTGCTGCATTGTGGTCATCGTCCAGCTGTACGAGTGCTTCTCCAAGCTCTACAACCCGCCCATCTCCACTCATTCCTACTACAGCCTAAACGAAACCATTGAAATGCCGGCGGTCACCATATGCCGGGAGCCACCCTACAAAGAGGAGGTCCTAACAGTGAGTGGTTCAAGGATATAATAATTGGTTATCCAAATAAAATAAATATTCAATAGAGGGGTCTACAGAAATCACATGAGTTTTGAAATTAATTATAAAAGTATCTAAAAGTATGCAGTGAAAGAAGGAACGTTGTCTTTCGTAATAAATCCATCAGACTCCCAGTCCCTAAATATATTGTTGCATACTTTTGGACACCTTTATAAGTGATTTCAAATGAATAGTGCTTTCTGTTGATTAAATTAATTAAATCGACATTTTTTCTTGTAGAGACTTTCCGGTGGTGGCTGTCCTCATCCAAAGTATGCAACCTGCTGGATGAACTATCCCTTTGGGGAGATTTCCCTGGAAGAATTTTTTGAAAATAGCACCCATGATATGGGCGACACTTTTGTATTTTACGGCCTAAACGAAGATCCAAATAGTAAGTTAAATTGATTTGTATTCTATTAAACCTCTTCATCACTTGATGTTTAGATGTAGAGATGAACACCAGTTTACACTTTTACATGGGTCGGTGCTATACCCTTCGACCCAAGGAGCCCGCCAAAAGAGTATCGAAAGCAGTAGGTTACTCCCTTATGCTGGAACATTCCATGGCTGCCACTTCCACCAGCGATGTGGATACAGGTGCAGTCGGCTGGCATGTTTTTATACACGATAAAAAGGAGAATTTTACAGGTAAACATAAAAGAAAATAAACTCCATGAATGTCACCTTAATTAGTTATCCATTTCAAGAAGTCAACATGAAGGGTTCTGGGCGTGTGGAGTATGTTTTTGTGGGTGTCAATGAGGAAATAGAGATTAAACTGCAAACCCAATACTTCTCCAATGTCCAGACACGGGAAGAGGATTGTTCCAATGACGAAAATTACAGTGACTTAAAGGTAGAGTCAGAAATTTTAAATATTTTAATAAATTTAAATATTAAAACCATTTCAGTGTGGTGAGCAGTGCATCTGGCAGGATTTATCTGATAATATGCAGTGCTCTGGACCTTGGATGCATGACATTGCGAATGAACCTTGTAACGATTCTGTTTCGATGAGGAAACTAATTTCGGATTATAAGGAGTACAGCTACCATGTTTTTGGTAATTTTTTATTCAAATCATTTTTTTTTTGTTCAGTGTATACGAAAACGAGGACGACTTTGACTGCGACTGCATTCAGCCGTGCCAATCGAGGATCTACACCACCTTCATACAGAGCCGCAAGGCTTTCAAGCAACCAGAGCCCCGCACCCAAATCTATATATACTACACAACCAAACTGATATCGGTAGGGGTTTACCTTGATGCATGGCACTTTCACTGAACATGTCACCATTTGCAGATGATTGAAGAGCGTCCCAGCTATGATACCACCCAATTCATAGCGGATGTGGGTGGTTCCCTTGGTTTTCTACTGGGTCTGTCTGTATTAGGATTGATTGGAATACTAGAACACGTATGACAAGGCACCATTTTCAACTAAATAGTATTTTGTACACCATGCCCTTTCAGATGACTCTCTTTTTCTGTGGCGGATTCATTAAGAGGATGCAGCAGAAGGAGCAGGACAAATTGGCCGCTAATTCCGAGGATGGTCAGTCCCAAACCAGCGATGAGACCATCGATATAGCCATTGCTTATAGAAAAAAGGAGAAAAAGGAAACGAAGTATTGAGTCAAGAACCAGCTGGCTTGGTTTTCCATTATTGGAAGTATAAAAAACTATTCAAATACACTTCTTATATTTAATCAACATTACGAACAGCGTTAAAGTTTTTTTAACCTAAAACTTAACATAATACAGATGCACTCAAATAAAAATATTTCGTACCATTAAGAAATCAGAAAAGTTTTTAAAACGGCCCGTTTTTGCTGATGTTTTCAAATTTTCCTTAGAATTTCGTTATTAAGGCGTTTTAAAAAATTGTTTGAGTTGCAGAAGTTACGAAAATCTTTCTTTCAGTTTGATACTTTTGTACAGCACTGTGGATCTAGATCCTAAAGCTCATCAGCAAACACAAGCCAGCAAATATCAGGGAACTCAAGTTACTCAAAGAAGCAGCCGAATTTGTCTTCACCTTGATGTTAGTGTTTAGTATATCCCCAAGCCTGTTGATCACATCCGGCAGAGGGGAAGTTCTAATTTCACAAGCCGTGTTCTTAATAGCCTCCTGAACACTGGCAGTTAGAATGCGGAAATTAATCGAACCTGGATACAATTCATCGTAGATGAAGACGGGTAGCTGATTGGAAAGAACCCATAGACGCTTCTGGTCATCCACCTTGACGTCACTGGGGAAAATCAAGGTCTCGTTGCTCATAAAGATGCGACTCTGAGAACTGTGGCTAAAGTCGGTGGCTGTGCGCCAGCAGGCGACTTCATTTAGATTGGGTAGAGCGTAGAAAAGGACACCGGTCTCGGGATCCAAAAACTCGGCTCCTGCCTGAGTGTTCGGTCCCCTCGAGCCCAGCACCTTGAACTCCCGATAGATCATCGCCGAGGTGGCCAGGCTTTTGTTTCGCAGTATCCCCGTGTCCACCGAGAACTCCGCGGTGGAGCAGAGCGGATGGAAATACAGTGTGGAATAACCCGTTTCCAAGGGTTTCGACAGTGCCAGGCCATATAGACCATCATCCCATTGGAATTCAATGCCATTGATGCTGAAGTTGCCAGCCATCGGATCCGGGTGGAAGAAATGATGCTGCACACGCCACGATTCCTGGTCCTTCCACGAGTACACCACCAAACCAGGACTGCCCAAATCGGCGGCATATGCGTAGGTGTTTTCACAATCGGAGTCCTCCACCGCTAGATTGGCCAACAAAGATCCCTGCTTCAATTGATCGGCGGGAAGAACGTGACGTCGCAGCAGATCATCATTGTGCAGATCGTAGACCAGCAGCTGGGCTGCTCCGTAGATCTTGGTCTGCTCCAGAACTCCCGAGATCCGAGAATCCAGCACCCAGAGGCGTCCGCAGCGATCGGCTCGCACCCGGAACGGAGAAACCAACTCCGGTTCGGCTTCTTGCAGATTGTGAGCCTGCCAGCTGGGGAAAGGCTTCAAGGCGGGACTCTTGCTGGAAGTATCTGTTGGAAAATAAATATTTAATAGTTATTTATCTTATTTTTTTAGATGCTGTTAAGCTAAAATATATATCTTGGGAACTAATAAATATCTGAATTTCTAGAAATTGTTTTGATATGTTACAAATGTGGTAGTTCTAAAATATATAATACAACTTTTAAAACATTTTATTGTACTTCATATTTTTTTTTGAGGTTTTAGAATATATTTCAAGGTTTATTGATCTCGTTGTTTAACAATCAATTCATTTGTTGAACTTGTATTAAAATTTTGGTCATTTGCATTGCTTTTTGTTTTGAATGCCGCTAATTGGATGCTCACACATTTTGTGTGTACATTGTTTAACTGTTGGTGAGTAATACGCACTGAAGCTTTTCATTTGCACATGTCTAAACTGATTAACGGGCTAATAAGCTGAGATTGAGTTGTGGCTTAAAAACAACTGCCCACTTGCCTTGTTGTGAGGCAGTAAAAGGTAAGGTAACTTTATTTATGTACTAAGACTGATATGCACTGTACACAGGAATATTAAAATAAGCATAGTTTAGTTAAGCTTGTTTAGGATGGAAATTTTGCAAAATAAGAAGTTGTTGAATACAGCAAAAGTTGTTTTTAACAAAATGTTATCCTATATATACTATATATTTTCCAATTTTTAATAAGTAAGTTTAAAATAAATTAATTTCAAGAGTATTTCCAAGATTGTGTGAACTGGCTATGACCAAATGTGAGTGTTCATTATAGACTTCGCAGCCCCCACACTGAATATATACCCAGTATGCATTGACTTGTGGTGTGCGGTTGTTTTCAGACTGTTAATAACGCCAGCGAGCGGAATTATCATGCTAATTGCCCCGCAAGTGCGAACGGAAACGGAATTGTTTGGATGGTCAAGTTGATCAGACAGTGCCGTCAGACGCGATCAAAAACAATTGCTGAGCTGTGAGATCCGAGATTTGCGATCTCAGATCAGTTCTTGGCACACATAGTGCAATTGCCAGCGGCAATTATATTCAAATCCCATTGCTGTGACAGCTGCAACAATGCAACTCATGCGCTTACCATTAAAATCAAGGTAGGCCAACGAGGCCGGCACTCCGGCCCGCCATCTGGGCAAAGTGACAAAGAGTCGGTGGCCGGCGACCTCCAGGCCAAAGGGTATCACATTGGCCGGCTTGAACTCGCCCCGCTCGATGGCCGACCATCTCTGGTCCGCACTGGCGTACTTGAAGTCCATTTCCCGCCACTCGTAGGCCACGCGCAGATTGTCGTTTCCCAGGGCGACCACCGCCCACAGGAGAAGCAGTCCAAGACTGGCACGCAGCATGGCTCAAATAAATTCACTGAAAATAGAAAAATCAATTAAATCCAGCTGCCCAACTCATTAAAGCTTCCGTTAAGCCGCAACGGCCTTGTTCAAGCCATAAACACAACCAGATCAGACACACAGAAAAAACCAAATTCAAAACAATTTAATGAGGCCAGATTTAAAATACATATTCATTTCGTTGGTTAATATGAGAAGTGTTTATCCGATATTTTTTATTTGAATGTTTCTTTTAAATTTCTTTAAAATTATTCAATCTTCATAATACTACAATATCGTTTGTTGGAGCTGTACCGATTTTTAATAAATATTTTCTGATCAATTGGTTACTTTTCACTTAAGTATTTTTCCCCTACATTTTTTCTCAGCATATTGGCTTATTATAAGGTTCATAATCGCTCAATTTTGTCACTTGGCCCAGCCTCCGCCGCTTGACTTGGCCTTCTTGTTCTCGGTGTGAGTCACACTTTGTCTTTGGTTCACTCAGTTATTTGAAAGTTGTCTTTGGTCTGTTCCGAGTCGGCCGAATTCTGGCTAAGTTGCCAAACAACAAAGATTTTTTTTCTTGTTAAAAGCGAGTCTTGAGCTACATTATCTAACCAACAAAATCAGAACGTGTTCAAGGAAGTTCAGCAACAATTTTCATACCCTATCTACATATATATTTTGGGGTTTATTTTTATCAGTTGACTGCAAAGATATGTCAAAACAAAATTTAAAAAAAAAAAAAAAAAACATGTTAAATAACGTCTCTTGAATATCCATCGAACCTTTTTCCATCTTCAGCACCTCCTAAGATGTCTGGCACCTAAATCAATATTGTACTTTATTTTTAGAGTATGTGTACGATCTTTATATCTCCGTGCTCAAGACCCTCGACCTCATCATCAAAATTCATGTTGAGTCTCGCAATTCAGCCATTAGCATTTCAATGAGTACTCTTTGGCTGACCGCCGTTCTCTTCGATTGTTCCATCAAATACATTTTATTTATGATTTGCGCCTTTTTTTTGATGATCAACGTTTTGTGCTCGCATTTTTCAAGTATTTTTGGTGAGTCAGCTTAAAAAAAATGCTTTCTTAAAGTGTTCCCTTTCTGTTTTTGATTGTGGGCGTTTCTAACCAGTATGTAATTAAAAGTGTTTTTTTAATTATAATCGATCAGGTTTTCCCATTTTTGCTATTTTTATTTGCCATTACCTAACACTTTAGTTTTATTTGGTTTAGCTTTGATAGTTTTTTGTTTATTTTTTGTTACAACCAATGGGGAATGGCTTGTTGGAGAGTCACTTTTCGGCCGACTCCAGTTATGAAAACTTTGTCAGTTGTCTGAATTGAGCAGAGTTGAGTTGATCAAAGTTTGTGTTTTGAATCTTTCGTTTGGCCCTGGTTTCGGTTTTATGACCACCGAGTTTATTTGATTTGCTGAACAAATCTTAAGCAAATGTCAACAGTTCGGGTCGGCACTTAACACACCTTTTTTAGATCACGAAAACAGCAGTCGCACAACCGCCAACGTCGAGGCTCGAAACGAAACTAAAAGTCAACCGAGCCGACAGTAAAGTCTTTTTGAGACCGGTCTGCGTGAGTGGTTCCCGCTCCATGCGGCGTCTCTCTCTTGGAATTCGAGTGAACTTGAATTAGTCAGCCGTTAAGACGGTTTAGCGCGCTGGAAATGAATTAAAGTAATTTTTGGCACGCTCCCTGGGCTAACCCACAAATAATATGCATAGCTCCCACGCCATGGCGGTATTAATCCAGCCATTAAAATCTACAGCTGTGGCCCTGCGTTTGACAAGCCCCTGAAAATAGTCCCACACTACTTACAGACATCACAGGCCTACTGTTTATTTATGACTGACCCATAAACATGAAAAGATATTAGACAAGCCCAAGTCCATGTAATTATCCCAGTTTACTTATGTACTTTAATCAATACTTGAAATTAAAACTCAATTAATTCGTTTGATAATCATCGTTGAGCGACCTTTAGAAAATTCCTGGTTTATTCCATGAATCAATCGACTTCCGATTGTCTTACTAGCAGAGTGAGTGTCTTAAGTCGAATAAGGATAACCCCATGAGTCATCACTCGAACATTGAAAAATTATACAAATAAAACGTATATGTTTAATTCACACCAGCTTAGATTTTATAAATTTTACAAAAAATTATCCAGTTTGTTTTATTTTGAAAACAACCCATCCAGAAAAATATCAAGTAAATTCATTTTGAGTCGATTTATTTAAATTTTAATAAATTAATTTCAAATGAATAGAGAACAATCGAAACATTAAACTAGAAATATGATTTTTATGCATTTTTGTTTTTCTAATTGTAATTTTTGCTTTTTATTTAGTTTAAAATAATTTAAACAATTGCTTATATAACTTGCTGTATGCTTACTTTCTTTTGTTTTTCGTTTTGGTAAAAACATTTTACGTACAAGAATGCTAAATATATAATTTTTGTTTTCTTTCCTGGTCTTTGCATCTTTTCATTTTCATTACAACATTAAAAATGATTTAACATAGGCAATTTTGTTGGTTTTTGATTTTATGCATTTGCACTAAATATTGTATAGGCATTAGCTAAGTATTTGTGTGATTATTTGTTGAACGAACAGAAATGGATAAGGGAAAATCGATTTACTAATTCCGTAAGCTGTAGTTAAGAATAAATGCAACAAAAATGGTTCAAAGCTTATGAAAAATATAAACATAGTACAAATTTATATTTGTTCAAAGATTAATGAATAAAAAAAACTTTGGTCGAAAGCTTCAAAGATCTTTGGCAAAAACAAATTCTTATTGTTTATTAGTTTTAAAATTGTTCGATCTTGAAATACTTTCCCAAAAAAATAGTTGCAACTATCAAAGCATTATTGATTAATTTTATATTGATAAATGAGTAAATCAACACTAAACAAGATGTGTAAACAAACTTTGTTGTTAATCTCTTTCGGATCCATCTTTATTATCCGAATATCTGAGAAATGGTGCGGTCGATGTGGATGGTGATTCTGCCGCCGGATTGTGTGGATTGTACAAGACGCATATGCATTGCGATTCGTCTGACATCGAAAGTTATAGTAGTGGGGTTATGCGTGTGGAAATAACGTTTGAGTGGTTGCAAGACAAGGACCGAAAAGTCCAACAGTTAGCTCGATAACTGTGATGTGCCATCGCCCCAGAGTTACAATATACTGGACAAAGCCGTATATTTGCTGACTTAACTCCGGCACATCGCCTGCGTCCGTTTTCGAACTTGTACTTGTTGTCGGAAGGCATACTCTTCTGGGCATGCAAAACATAATCCAAAGATAGACATATACCACTTATTTATAGATATAGATAGAAGGGGTTAGGACGAACGCAGGGGACTTTTCGCTCAGCAAAATTAATGTGACACGCTTTCGACTGAACGCAGCAGACATTTACGCTCTTGGATCGGTTGTGTGTGGGGTTTAGTATTACAGTGACTGCCATTTGTTCAGCTACTCGCGTGTCGCCCAGCGCAAAGACAGACAGATTGGTGGTCTAAATTTTAATTCTTAGATTTTAGTTTCTTTTCTTTTCGCAAAACACCTAAAGCCCATTAAATGTTAACAAAACTTGTAGCCTTTTTTAGCTGTACTCTTTTCAAACGAACGCGTGCATTGCATGGATAGAATTTTACGGTTAAAAGATTAATTTGTAATATGAAATTAAATAAACAAATTTTATATAATTTATAGTGACCACCACCAAAAACAATACTAAATGTTGACTACAGACGGGAAATGCAAGCGAAACTTAAACTTTAACGAAAGTAAATTTAATTTATTTTCACTTTTTTAAAAAGTCCCAACTCAACACAGCCTGGAATTGAAAAAAAAATTGTTTTTATGTTGTAAATTAAAATTAAATTTTTTTTAAATATGTAGTATAAACAACAATATATTTTGAACTGATCAAAAAAAAAAGCAGTTAACAACCCAAAAAGGCTGGCAAAAACACTTAAAATTTCCAGATTAAAAGATTTCAAAGCAGATATAATATTCGTAAACAACTTTAAATGAATTGGCATTTTGCATTCCCGATAAAAATGAAATTAAAGTGATAATAAATAGCAACTCTACAAAATGAAATGCGTCCATCAAATATTTACAAAGTCTTCGCAATACAGTTACCAGAGAGAGAATATATTCTACGAGTACGAGTATAACGACTGTATACAGATGCGAGTTAAGTCGGGGAGTGTGTGAATCGTATACGAGTATTGCCACCAAATCTGGGATTGTCTGTCTTGCATTGAGGTACTTTCGTCTGAAGCACGCCGTTCTAACACCGCAGGACTATCGAACCGGGCCAACGAAATTGGATATGGCCGGCGATATCCCGATGGCGGTGCGGCGAATTTGCCAGACCCAAAAGTCCAACATCAATTTTGCGGTTAACTGGCCCGATTGAGGAATTATTCGGATTCAATCGCATCTTCTTGGGCACCAGTTTTTCACTTGTCATTGCTTATGATTAAATTACACGATTTAGTTATACATTAATACATGTATTTATACATAGATAGATAGTTAATTGGTTGGGTTACATGTGTGTACTATAGGTATACTCAAACAGGGGTGAATGTTAGTTGGTGTTGCGTGTGGTGCTCTCCAGAAATCTGAGTGCTAATTTTAACTACCCTAGGCTACACTGGGTTAGGAGTATTCGAAGAACACGAGGCGCGGAGAACAATCTGATTCATGCTGATTTCAGTAAACATAACAAAACATAAGGATACGACTAGTACTCGTTAACTGTCAAGGGACTACTTATGCTAGCTAAAAATTTTTTATTGGATTACCTTCGGATTAACTAAAGCCTGAGCGTCTTTATAAAGGGTCAAGTTCTCGAGTATTGTTTTTAATTAGTTCAAAAACTAGTTGAAGTTGTGGAAAGGAAGCTAGACAACTGGGAACTGTGGAAGAACGCTACGGTAACAACAAAACAAAAGCATCAATACCAATCCCGAAACAATGTTTCGAGTGTACTACTAACATGTGAGAAATACCTATCTAGATGCCTCCTTACCGGTAATTCTATAAGCTATATAGCGGTTTAATAGGGGATGGGTTTTTGTTGTTTGTTGTAATTGTTGCTGTTGTTTAGTACCAACCATAACCAAATGACTTATGATAAATAGTATTTAATGTGCATATATAATTATTAAAAAGGAAAATCAAATTTAATGTAGATACCTGCTCTGATCTGTTGTCTCGCGTTGACCACACACCAAATATATATTACATACCAAAAGAACAGAAACGATACAAAGAATGGTTGAATATTTTAATAAATATGTTTGTATATAGTTAAATATACTATGTTAAAAAAGATAGGACTTACTTTTTGTCAGCCGCAACTGAACGAACGAACGAAGGTCTAGACAACATGGGGCCTAAACAGAACTTGTATGAATTGCTTAACATTGTAACAGTTTGCAGAGAATTTCACATGGACAGAAAGAATCGAAAGTATAAATTACGCACGATTAACACAAAAACAACACAAAAATGCTGCTTATGGCAATTGTCAACATACCCAGAGCTTTGAGCGTTCAGGTTTTTTGGTTTTGGTTTTTGTGTGATTTTGAAGATTTCATTTCGGATTTCATTTGTTTTGAAGGAGGTATAATTAAACAACCTGAGTGTGTGTGTGTCGGCGTGTTTAAAATATATGCTCACTAAATGAAACTAAAAAAAATAAGAAAGAGAATGTTAAAAAACAACAATTTGTATAGATTAAGTGTCAACGATTAATTTGTTGATTATACAGATATAGATACAGATAAAAGATAGAGATCTACATCACAGCAAAGTAGCTTCAGATGGATAGTTAGTGTGTGTGTGTTTGGTTTAGCAGTGTGTGGTACATGGTGTTATACAAATAGCACGAATAATTGATCTAAGAGATGTATTTATGCACGCACATCGAGAAGGTCGGATAAGGAAAATTAATGAATTTGGATCGGAACAAAAGCTAGAATGGAGTGCTTAAGGTGAACGAAATATATAGGTATATGACATCGACTGGTTAACTAGGCATAACCGCTGATTAGTGGGTAGCGTGTGGCCGAGAAGTGTGTGTGTGTGTGTGTGTGTGTGTGTTTGTTGAGGGTGTTGTGTCTCAAAAACTGTTATACATTGAAAAAGAACTTGACTTTGGTTGGAGTTTTCAAAACAACTTGCTTGCTGAGTGCGCGCTGTTTGCTCTTTGCAAATATATGCTTGATCCTTGCCTTACTCGTGGAAAAGCAGTGGCAGCGGCAGGCTCAACAGCGGCGGCTGAGCCTGTAGAGCGGCCGTGGTCCTGGAGAACGGCTGCGAAGGCTGCACGTGCGGAGGATGCGGTTGCAGGTGCGTTGGCGGCTGGGCTGCTGGCGCCTGCAACAGACCCGGCGCTGCGGGCAGACATCATCTGAAGCGCGGCTGCATCATCTGCAGCATGTTCGGATGTCCTTGCAGCATCACGCCCATTCCGGGCATCGCCATGGCTCCAGGTGGCAAAGCGCCCGCCATTCCGGGTAATCCAATCGCCTGCATGGGCAGTAAGCCTAAGAAAAGATAAATCAATAATCGGTTAATATTGTTTTTTGTAACTGTGTGCAATAGTTCTAAAAGTCGTTATCAGCATTTGAATTTCCGTCATGGGAAAAGCTGAACCTTTGGGGTATTTTCGGGATTTTTTTTTAAGTAAACAACTAAACGTTTCTAAACAATCAATATGTTATCTTAAAGTATATAAGGTTTAAATATTTAAATATTGAATAGTAATAATAAGTTACAAACGGGGATGACCCTTTAATGACTGCAGTGATTTAATAGTTTAGACGTAAAAAAAGTTCTTGCCAACTGTGGCACTCGCTTTCTTTGATCTACTCACCTGCAGGCATGCCGTTAAATCCGGGGCCACCGGCTGCTCTAATCATATTCCCGCCGATAAGCGCTCCATGGGGACCGATGGCCATGGCCGGTCTCAGCATCGGCTGCATCAGCTGCATGTGGCCTGGTATCGGCATCTGGACGTGACGGATCGGATGTGGAGAGAAAGATATAGAAGAGCATGGAAACAAGATATCGGATTAATACTCCTGAGGGCTCTTTAGCTCGGTCTATATTGAAGCCATTGTACACAAAATTAGCTAATTTATTATTAATTATGTTTGTTTTGGTTTTGTTTTTTTTTTTTTTTTTCATTTAAAATATTAATAAGTTGGTTTTGCGTACTTATTCAATAAATGGACAAGAGGTGTGTGTATGTGTGTTGGGTTTGTTGTGGGTGGAAAACATTTTTTGCATCGCATTACATATGTATGATAGAGCAGAGACAAGATATATAGAGTAGAATATTGAGTAGAGTAGAGAGAAGAGGCGAGACTTCTTCTCTTCTCACCATGGCAAAAACAATATTATTTTTTATTTGTAATTAAATATTTTGTTGGTTTAAAAAGAAACGTACTTACAATTCGGAAACTGAACTGACGACGACGATGGTGTGGAAGAAGGTGTGAGGGGATTGCATTGCAAACCATTTAAGGTTTTAGTTTTGTTTCTAAATATTTGAGTTGCACTTCAATTAGAGCAACGTAAACAAATTAATCGTATTTGCACTTAAGAGAAAAAAATAGTAATTTAATTCACTAACCAGAGGCATGGGGTCGAGTTCAAGTTCCAATATCTTTCAGTTAGAAGTTAGTGTTAAACTTTGCTAAGATTGTGAGTCTGTGAGAGATGGATGAGGGTGGGAGTGGATTAGGCAGAGATCTATGACAAGCTCATCGGTTGGAAATGGAAGAGAAAGATTCTCCAACCGATGATCCTCTACCTTGGATAAGCCTTTGTACTGCGCATAAAACCAGATGAATAGAGTGTTAGTGTGAAAGAAGATGAAACGGGCAGAAGTTAGATGGGATCTGATTGTAAGTTGGGGGAAAGGGGACAGAGATGCATGATTTTAGGAACATAAAACATTGATTTGGTATTACAATTTACAGATCAAAAAACATTAAGATATTATGCTTATGACAAGTTTTTCTGTTGATTTTTTTCTTTACATTTGTGGATGGAGTTATCGAGGTAATAAAGACAGAGAGAGACATATCAATGCGGTGTGTAGTCTTATTTAATTCTTGTGTATGTTTTGTGGATATGAATTAATCAATCAACCAGTCAATCAATCATCAATCAATTAAACCAACCAACGCAGCAACCATTACGACAAATTCAAAGTAATTGTTTTTTTTTTTTTTTTTTTTTTTTTTTTTTGTAATAGAAATTATTGAAATGTACTTACATGGCTTGCAAAATAGTTTTAACATAACTCACGACTTATCTCTCATTCATATTATTATTATTGTATATTCATTGTTTCTGTTTTTTTACTTGCAAGGCAGTACGTACTAAAAACTTTCTTGGGGGCGGGATTGATCTTGTGGATTATATATACGCATGGGTGTGAGCGGTTGAGAGAGATAGAGGAGAGTAGGTACTTGCTTAGACTACATAATTACTTGCATAAGTACGACTAAGTAAGATTATAATGGAGTTGTTGGCTTTTACTTATCTTGTTGCTTTGCGCACTTTGCATTTCACATATCATTTTGCGGGGTGTGAGTTATTTGGACGGAGTGATTAGGTTGGGTTCTTGGGGGGGGGGTAAGATAAACTTGTTGTTGTACAAAAACAATACATACTGTAACACTGTTCGGACCCTGCGCAACTCTTTTGCAACTCTTTATCGTTTATCAACACTGAACTTCTGCTCTGTACTGCAATTGTAACGGTAACTCGTTAACACATTTTTGATTTTAGAAGCTTAATACTTTTAAGAATTTGATATGGTGTAAGGCATTAGTTAACACAGTGAAATCCCTTTTTTTGAAGCTGTTAACATGTAATGTGTTCGAAAAGTAATAGAAATCGCAAGCGATAGTGTTGGTAAGCGTTTGTAGTTAGGCAAAATAATTATTAAACGAGTGATCGGAGAGTTATTTAAATTTACAGAAAAATAATGTAATTAACTAATGAGTTCTCAATTTGCATGGCTTTAAAATTGGTTAAAAGCTGTATACTTATAAATTAAAAAGACAGACAGTTCCAGATACTTTTGAACACATCGGTTATCGTTATGACCAAGATTGTTTGATGACTTCGACAAATGATTTCAACGGCAGAAAGTAAGGATTAGCCATGTGATTATCTAACTAGAAAATCAATTTAAATTTAGCGCCCCCTGCTAGTTCATGGGTGATTAGCATGGTGATGAGGGCGAAGCTTTAAACTAAATCGGTTTAACCCACTCAAAATTGCTGTCGTTGGATACCACCATGGGGACATAAGATCGGTTTTTGTTTCGTTTTTTTGTTTGTGGTCTTTGACAGATTGAGATTCTCAGCACTTGAAATTCGATTTTGTTAAGTCAAGTTCATTCTTTCGATTGGTGGTTGTACGCGTTGCATACGCAGCACCGCAGGATTAAAGACTTACCATGCCGACAGCTGCGGCGGCCGCAGCCGCTGCCGCAGCGCCAGGATTTGATGGCTGTCTGGCAGCCTGAAAGCGCTGGAGCATCACAGCCCGATTGAGTTCCTCCAGTTGCTTGACCTGCTGCTGCTGAACCGCCTGTTGCTGCTGCACCGCCGCCTGCTGCTGCTGCTGCTGCTGTTGCGCCACCGCCTGTTGTTGCTGCTGAGCCGCCTGATGCTGCTGGGCTGCCACAGCGTGGGCCACATGGGCAGCCTGCACCTGGGCTTGCACCACGGCCTGGGCCTGGGCCTGAGCTTGGGCCTGAGCCTGGGCAGCGTGGGCGTGGGCGTGCGCCTGAGCCTGGACTTGTGCCTGTGCCACGGCTACTAGGGCGGCGGTCTGTAAGAAAATTTTGGAAATCCATTGAATTTATCTCACATGCCACGTCGAGGGTATATTTATTTGTGAAAACCCAATTAAAAGCTTTTTCTAACTGACAAGCAATTTTTTAGTATATATTCTGCCTTCAAGGTGTATTTAATCCAAGAAACCCTTAACTCTTTTACCATTTTGGGGAGAAGCTATGAACTATGAACATTCTTTAACATGTAAATGTAAAATTATCGGCTAGAAGATTGCGTTAAATCTCAGACAACTAACGTAAACAACTTTTTAGGGACTTTGGTAAGGAAAATAACAAAAGAAATCGATTAAATATTTATTAGCTATTTATTGACTAAAATTATTGAAGTCAATAAGGCCTTTAATAATGTATATTGATTTTAATGACTTCGAATAAAAATTACTGAAACTTTGAAGAACAGTTTTTTAATCTAACTTTGTAAACCGTTTAAATTCAGCCCCTAAGATCCCTTTTAATCGATCCAGCCTTAAATTAATTTCAACACTATTATTGCGGGTTACCCTTTTAATGATAATAATGCTTCTTCCATTAAATATCTGAAATGCAATATAAGGAACACTGAAAGATGCGATGCTCTTTTAAATTTTGATATGGGGATTAAGGTTTGGGGGGACCACTTCAATATAAGACCTTACATTTTCCTTCTATCAAATTACCTAGGTCACGTGGTTAGCTGCTTTGAGTCATTGAACCTTAATTGGTTAAATTGAAAACCGCCGTTTCGTTTGTTTTGTTGCCATTAATTTGTTTGTTTAATTAAAAAATTGTACAGACATATATCATACTATATGCTAAAAAAGATATTTCTTTTTTTTTTTTTTTGTAATTCTGTTTTGTTTTGTGTAATTCTTGTAATCCGTTTGCTTTCGTACGCTGTGGTCGTGTGATCGTAACTTCCGACATCGTATTTTACGAAATTTAAAAAGTAAACTTAATTGTAACGAAAATTGGTATCCATAATGTGTAAAAAAGTGTCCAGTTTGGAAAAATGGAATTCTCTCGAAACGCAAAATGCAGTCAACATTTTAATGTGAGTCAGGTTTTTTAAGTGCAAATATTTATTTTATTTAATTTGTTTTTTGTTTTGGGAAAATTGTCTTTTTACACGTCCGCGTTTCAGTTCGTTAAGTTTGTTAATTCCTGTTTTTCAAAGTCATTTCAGCGTCTGAAAGTCGCTTCAGTATAGGTCTGTTCATTTATATTGACTATGGTTTCTATAACTATGATAAGAACTCACTTCCTGGGCCTTCGACATGGCTGTGGAGACGGCAATCGCGTTAGCCATGCCACTGCTGCTGTTGCTGCCCGTGGGCGATATCCCGGCCAGCGACGGAGGCGGCGGAGTGGCGGGCATCGACGCGGAGCCGCCGCCATTGCTGCTTGGACTCTTGCGGCTTTGTGGATTCGCCAGAGCAGCCAAAGCGGCAGCCAGACGCGCCTGTATTTTCGGTTGGCGGGCGCGCAGCTCTTCCAGGCTTACATCTTCTTGCGGGTGCATGATCTTGGTGGTCACAGCGGCGGCAGCACCTCCGGATGCTGCTGGTGGAGCCGGCGGACGCTGCTGGTGTTGCTGGCCATCGGGCGGACCACTTGGTGGTGCACTTGCACTGGATGCGCCACCAGCATGGTTGGTGGTGGGCGGAGCACTTATGGTAGCATTACTTTATCGAAAATGCAAAAACAAAGGTTTTACGTTAGTGGAAAAATACTTAAATTAAGCCTAGGAATAAGTCAAATGACTTGCTTCACAGGCTGAGTTTAATGGGGGAAGGCCACTTGGGAAATTAATATTTAAATAAAGTTACCGAGGTTGATTTAAACATTTTGTGTTCTTTGCCAATAGACTGCTTTAAAAGTTTAGTACCAGCCTTCCGTAGGTATAACTATTATCTGCCTAAAAAAATAAAATCCAAATTGATATTATTCTGATACGGTCTCTAATGCTAGCCAATTAATATGGTATAAGAAACTTGGCTTGTTTACTTTACATTATATTTTTAATTTTTTTTAACTACTAGGCTTCTATTTGTGTTTTAAAAATAAATTGTTTACTGTTCATTACTTTTTAAATCGATTTAGCATGAAAATTCTGCTTGAAATGAACAGAGTATAGATTGAAACACAAGTAAAAAATCTTAAACCCTGCTAATTTTCTTTGAAAGACTAACAAACAACAACAACTGTACCGTTTAGAAATCACGATAAATTGAGGAACTAACAAGATGCTAATGTGGCATTCCCCCCTATCGATGCCCACCTGTAAGCTGGAAATGTTGGCTTCTGTTGTGCCATGGCGGCCGCATGGTGATGGTGCACCGCCGCAGCAGCAGCCGCCGCTGACGTGGTGGCCATGGCGGCCGGGAACAGAGGACGCGGTGGCATCATGTGCGGCATCATGGGCACTGGGTACGGAGGCAGCGGTGGCATGTGCTGCATCATGCCCATGCCATACTGGCCCAGCATGTGCGGCGGCATCATATTCGGGGGCATCATCATTGGCGGCGGCACGCTCATGGCATCTGTAATTGAAATTACTTAGATATCCATGGAGAACACTACTATGGAGACCACTTACATTCCACTTTCTTCTTGGCCACCGGCTCATCATCATCAGAGTCGGACTTGCCGCCGTTCTTTTGGCGCTCGTGATCCCTGAGATCCTCGGCGGGAATGCCGTCCATGCCGAAGATTTCGATTTCAATGTTTGAGCGATTGGGCAGCGAGTTGGGCACCTTGTCCACCGTCTCCTTGTGCACCTGCATGCAATGGATGGAGAGGCCCGGTCCGGTGTACAACTTCTTGTGGCAGATGTGGCACTTGAAGTGCTTGGCCTTCTGGTGCTGCACCAGGATCTTCTCGTCGTCGAATTCGCGGTTGCAGTACCTAGTTTTTAGTTAAGAGTTAAGGAAAATTCCCCTGGAGATGTGGCCCCTTTTTCCCCTTCCCATCACTGCCCAATACCATTATATAAATTTGTGTGTATGTGGAGAAGCCAGCGGCACATGCCGTGGGAAAAAAAGTTTGTCGTTTGTTTTGCAAAAAGGATACCAGCACCAGGGTTTGGAGGCCTTCTTCTTCTTGCGTCCCATGATTCGAAGTCCGTTTTAAAACACTTAAATTTACAAAAACGTTCGGTTGGTCGTATAAAAATGCAATTTGATGTAGCAAAAAGGTTCCGCTGTGGAAAACAAAATGGAGCCAGTTGAGTGTGACCGTGCAAGATTCGAAGAAATATACCATCCGGCTCTTAAAAGTATTTTCTTTAAGAAATATACTATGAATATATCTAGGGTATTCCCTTAAATGAACTGCTTGTGCACAAAGTTAATTTCACCCATTTATAAAATTATAGTTCGACTAGGTTGAAAATATTTATTTTGAAGTTTTGAAATATTTGTGACCAGGTACGGAGTTCACAGTATACAAACCTTTAGCTTTGAGGCTTGACAAAAATTATCCCAGTTCAAGAGTTTTTCAAATATTTGTTGAAACAAGGAAGACTACGATAAAATAATCAAAATCAAGAAAGGAAGCAAACTTCGGTAAACTGAAGTTCATTTACCCTTGCAGCTATTGCAAAAATTAAGTATTCTTGAAAACATTATAATTATGATTTATTTTCGTATATGTTTAAAAACTATGATGATTTGTAGCTCAATTATTCGGTAGTTTTTATGGCAGCTATATGATATCGTTTTTTGATTTTAATAAAACTAAAAGCGTAATTCTGAACTGTCAAATTATTAATAGGTCAAAAAGAATTTTTAAAAATACAAAATAGAAAATTAAATTTATTTAAAAATTTTTTTATATATTTGTTGTTACCATGGGAGCTTTTTGTTATAGTCGTCCGATATTGACGAAATTTAAACCGTAATTCTAAAATATTGAACCATTACTATATGTCGAAGAAGTAAAAAAATATAAATATAATACCCTCGGCCAGGGTATAAATAATAATCGATGTCAGAGAGGGGACCGCAGTGAGAATTATCTCAAATATTAAAACCATATTGTCATGGTTCGAGTCTTAGCTAAAATGCCGGAACAAACGCCATCTGCCGACTAAATGGGTTTGGTTATGTGGAATTTTTTACACACCAATCCACGGTCACTCTAAGCCAGCCGGCATTTACCAAAAACAGAATAATGGCAGATAAAAAGGTAAAATAAATAAAATAATAACATTTTAGCATTAAATCGTTATCGTGCATGACCTTACAGGTTGGCGGCAACAACGACGGCAAGGAGAAGCGCCGCAAGGAGTCGATTCTGGACCTCTCCAAGTATTTGGAGAAACAGATCCGCGTGAAATTCGCGGGCGGCCGCGAGGCATCCGGAATTCTCAAGGGCTACGACGCTTTGCTCAATCTGGTGCTGGACAACACAGTGGAGTATCTGCGGGACTCCGACGAGCCCTACAAACTGACCGAGGACTCCACCCGAAGTCTGGGACTGGTGGTGTGCCGTGGGACAGCTTTGGTCCTCATTTGTCCACAGGACGGAGTCGAGAGTATCGCGAATCCCTTCATAACGCAATAATCGGAGGAACAGTAGGTCTAGACTAAGTACAAAAAGCGTTTGTGGAAATGGGTTTAAATATATTTAGCGGAGACATACGTATAAATAATGGCTTAAATCTAATTACTCTAGGACACAGAGTACAACTTTCATTAGCTCGTGAAAAGGAATTTGCCTTATCCATAATATTTCGATCGTCCTGGAGTTTAATATTGTAAATGTTTCTATACAGGCAAATTCTAAGTTTCTCTAAGACTTTTGTTTCAATTTCATTTTAAAATTATAAATATGATGCACCTTAATGGTTTTTTTTCTAAGACCTGAATAATCCAAATAATAAATAAAATATGTGATTATTAGACTCTTTCAATCAGATTTAAAACCTGGAGATAATTTCTTTGTTTCTTTCTCAAACCAAAGTCAATTAACTAAGATATTTTTTACGACTCGCTTTAAGGACAGTCTAAACATTATGGATAGGTAAACCCCCTTATTGGAGACTCAAAATTGCTAAGAGGGCTATCACCTTAGTCCAAACCGAACTCGTTTCGAATCCAGGGATACTGGGCAGGACACTCCATGCACGTGTAGAAGTAGCGATCCTCCTGCAGCACTCGACTTCGCACCTTGCACACGTTCGGCAAGTTGCAGACCCGCTCCTGGGGATCCAAATCCTTGGGCTTGCAATGCCAGGACTCAAACTGATGCAATTGATTGCTGGGCGTGGGATGGCGCATCCACTGAATCGCCTGCTGGTTGGTCACAAAATACACATCTGGCAGCTTTTGCAGGTCATCGAGGAATTTCTAAAAGAACAACCATGCTTTCGGAACAACGATAATCAGCTACTTTCAATACTCACCAGGAATGCGTTCAGATAGTCGACCTTTTTGAACCAGGTGGAATGGAAATACAGGCCGAAGGGTGCCCTGTTGCTGAGGTAGTGTCTCTTAAAGTTGTGCGTCAGCATTCTGTACACATCCTCGCCGCTCAAATGCGGAGGGCAACTGTCCACCATGCCGCACATGTATTCGCCCGCCTCCAGCTGGTTCATTACCATTTCCCAGATGCCCGGATAGCTCCTGGACGGACAATTCTGATTCACTCCCGTGCAGCTGTGCGGCATTTTGTAGTCCAAGGTGTAGGGCCACAAGGGAGGATTGGAATGCGGCGCCACCATAGAGGAGTCGTAAACGAAGCCAAACTCCTTCATCATTAAAAACTGGCGATTCCAGCCGACGCGTAGAAAGGGCACTCTCATTCCGCGGATCTCCTCCATGCGAACGGCTGCAAATTTATTAATGATATTCGCCTGGCCAACCATTTCATCAAACCAGTCTTCAATTGTGGCATTCTTGGACCACCACATCTCAGGACCGCGATGTCTGCAGGGAGTTGTAATGCAATTTAAAACTATAACCTTAACTTGGTTAACTAACTTACGTGACTGAGTGCACGGCGATCTCATGACCATCGTTCCACAGCTTCTGCACATACTGATAGTTGGTAAACGGATGTGAGACATAGAATGTGCCCTTTATGGGACACCCATTGGGATTTCTTCTGTTCTGTGTGAACAAAACCTTCGAGAAGAGCTCCCAATTATCGTGATTGATGGCATCATCGAAGGTCAGCAGGATCATCTGGGGTACACTCTGGGCTGGAATACTTCCGGGTATCAGGGTGCCATCTTTCGAGCAGAAGCAGTGGGGCAGCTGGCATTTGCGTGGATCACAGGCACCGGCCGCATTCGGATCGTGCTCCACATCGCACCAACCCTCGTCGGAGCCATCGGGGCAGTCCACCGATCCGTCGCAGAAGTACTCCTGCGGCAGGCAGGTGCCATCGGCGCACCCCAGCTGGTAGGCATCCGCACAATCGGCCATCTCCAGCAGGGGCTTTGGAGCCGGCGTCTCCGCACTCACATCGCAGTTATCCACATTCGCCTTGAAGTCACAGATCTGACGCACCACATCGAAGAGCAGCCCCTCGGAGCACTTGAACTCGAACACCTCGCCGTCGAGGCAGAGGAAATACTTGGCGCACTCGCTGTTCGTCCAGATCTTGTGCACCGGCCTGTTCGGATTCCGATAGAAGCGTGCATCTTGCATGCAGCTGGCTGGAGTGGCAGCCACCGCCGCTCCGGAGGTCGAGCGACGATGCCGAGTCGTCTGGTTGCTGATTATTCCATCATTGTCTGCAAAGCAGGCACACATTATTAACTGGGTGTGAGTGTGAGAGAGCCGTGTGTAACTAACTAGGTGACTAATTAATGCGTTGACCCAAAAACAAAACCGCTCACGTCAACCCAAAATTAGCCATTGACTGCCGGTTGCAGCAATATTTTACTACCAATACCAATCACGCACTGGAATGGGAGGTACACGCAAAAGTTGCAAAAAGTCAACTTTTATAAGAGAAACACCACGCAAGCCCACGTTCGCCACTTGAATTGAATTGAAAAATTGGACAAATTTCAAGGAAATATGTTGCACTTACTAATATAGAAGTGCCTCAAATAATGAGTTGAATTTTGATGACCTTTTTGATGTGGCTGAGACCTCGCTTAACACTACAATTATTTTATCTCATGTAATCTTTCTTCATGGTAACTGGTAAAGATGATTTATATTGAAACTAGTCACGAATTCCTATGGCCTTAGCATAAAGAATATACCTAATAATTTAGGACTCATGGCCTTTGATGATTTAATGATTGCTCAAAAATGATTAAAAGATATAAAAAAACCTATTTTAAATGGCAATGGATTTAAGAGGATAGAAAAATAATGTATTCTTGTATGAATCTCATAAAAATTTACACATAACAAAATTGTTCATGCGAACCTTCTGGATTTGTTTAACATATCTCCGGGAAGCAATTTTTTGTATGGAACTTTCTGGATTTATATTACATATGTCCGAAAAAGCATTTATAGAAACCCTTTTGGTAGCTCCACCTACTCCAAAATACGCCCACAGCCATGTGCCACATTGTGGCGGATAAGCTGAAATGCGTTTGCATCATGGATTGGCAGCAATGGCCCGTAGCCGTGCCGCACCAGATCGTAACTCAGGCGATTGGGCAAGAGACGCGTGTTGGCCAAATGCAAGATGCGATCTGGAGATACAGTGTATGTACAACCATACATATATGGCTAATACAGATAGTCCGACTGTCTGTCCGTTTGTATGTATGCATCTCAGTCTCCATCTCGATCTCAATCTCAATCTCTAGCTGAAGCAGCTGGGCAGTTGCTGCATTTAGAAAGTAAATTTATCATCTTGTGTGCCGGAGAGGCCAAGGCAGCGGGTCAGGAAAATTTCAGCAACTGTCATGGGGTTCAATGCACACGCTTTTTTGTTTTTTGGTCGATTTTGATAGCGAGGTGGTACTGTCGCTGTTGCTGTTGCTGGTGCGCTGCACGGGGACACAGTCTCACAGTCCAAAACGCAAACCGACTTGGCCCCACTTGGCTCCCCGTTTGTTATATAACTCCGATCGACAACTTTCACACCCAATGCGCGCGCGCATGCGCATGCCAAAAAAAAATAAATAAAAATATAGGCAAGACACGCACCTAAAACCCAATCAAAAGCCGAACAAAAGGGGAGAAATTACCAATGACCAGGGCATCCAGCGAAGACGACATAATCATAATCACAACAATCAAACTGGACAGGGTGAGTGTGGTTGGGTGGGAGTCGGATTTTCGCGCTGATAACGGTATACGGCGGCGCCGGGCGGAAGCGACGACCTTGACTGTGAAACCCGTTTGGCAATTTACATTTTCCCCCGGGCAGAGCATTTTTCAGCCTGCTTTCCACTTGGCGAGTGTCGTGTGTTTGTGTGTCTTGAATGTTTAGTGTGCTGCGAGTGGAAAAACTATGGAAAATCGCGACCGGATCCGCACCGACTCAAAGTCGATGTGTGACTGAAGTCGAACCAGATGCAGCCAAGGCATTATATATTTGGGCATTTCTCTGACAAGAGGGTAGTTGAGAGCCCCCAAGAGAAAGCTCTTCGCAGTGGGTGCTATATTTATGTTAGTGAGCCACAGAGCATATTGTTTTGCTATAGGTTTATTAAATAATTTATTCACAAAACAAGGTATACAAATTTCAATGTTACTACATCGCTGGTTTTTTATTTAAAAATGCTCACTTCTGCTCACGGGAAATATATATTTTAACATATGTCTAAAATCATAATTGTTAACTACAGTTATAATATTTTTTATTTGGCTTTACTAAAAAGAATCAATTAAAATATTGGCATGTTATTTTTAAATATGTATATTTTTTTTTAATATTGTTTAAGGCCCGTTACCTAAAATTCGAATTCAAATTTCAAAAGCGCCAAAAAAAAACATGGCGCCAAATTATAATAGTGTGGCCGTTCTTATTATTTTAGCGGATACTCACTCCCCAGTTAGCGGAGACACGTTAGAGATGGGAGAACAGCGATGGTGGCCCGCCAAACATCGATATCGCCGATGTTTTGAAAGCGTTGATGACTGTCCCATCTTTAGCGTCTTTTCCCTTTGGCGCTTGGGAAGTTAAGTTCGTATTTTGAGGAATTTACCTCGTTTAACCAAGTTCAAATAGTTTTAAGAAAGGGGACAAGATGCAAAAGGCGCGTCCCAGCAAGGGCACGCCCAGGGGAGCCCAGGGTGCACGTCCGAGCGGTCAGTTCCGGGTGCCGCAACTAACTGCCCAGCAATTGCGGGCCCAGCAACAGCAGGAGGAGGAGGACGCCGCCATGGACGCCCTGGACGATGCCCTGATCTTCGATGACGAGGAGGGCGGCACCCGGATCGGCGACATATACATTCCGCCTCCTGTGCCGCCACATTGCTCCATGGAGAGCGTGGGGCCGCGACTGATCATCGCGAAGATTGTGAACCACAATTTCAAGAGCTATGCCGGCAAAGTGGTACTGGGACCGTTCCACCAGAGTTTCACGGCCATCATTGGACCAAATGGCAGTGGCAAGAGCAATGTCATCGACTCCATGATGTTCGTCTTTGGCTGCCGTGCGAACCGCATTCGCTGCAAGCGCGTCTCAACCCTGATCCACTCCTCCGCGAAATTCCAAAATCTCCGGAGTTGCTCGGTGGCGGTGCACTTCAAGCAGATTGTAGACAAGGGCGACGGCAGCTGCGAAGATGTGCCGAACTCCGACATTGTCATCGAACGCACAGCCATGTCGGACAACTCGTCCTACTATCTGGTGAACGGAAAGCGGGCCCAGCTCAAAGATGTGGCCAAACTGCTAAAGCAGCACCATGTGGATCTGGAGCACAATCGCTTCCTTATCCTGCAGGGCGAAGTAGAGTCCATTGCCATGATGAAGCCAAAGGGGCAGACGGAAAACGAAACGGGAATGCTGGAATATCTGGAGGACATTGTGGGCACCAAACGTTATATTCGCCCGCTTCAGCAGATCAACCAGAGGGTGGACCAGCTCACCGACGACCGCACGGAGAAGCACAACCGCTGCAAGCTGGCTGAGCGCGAGATGAAGGATCTGGAGCAGCCCTTCAACGAGGCCGTCGATTATCTGAAGAAGGAGAACGAGATGGTGCGCACCAAGTCCGTGCACATCCAGAAAATTGTGAGCATCAAGAAGACCAAGCTGGAGCAGTACACCAAGGAGCACGAAACGTGTGTGGAAGAGATCAAAACCCACGACGAGGGAACTGCTGCCCTGAGACAAGAACGGGAAGAGAAGGAGACCGTAGTCCGAAAGGAAATCGAGTAAGCACAAATCTTCCGCTTTACTATGATATTTATTAATGCATTCGTTATTATTATTATTAGAGCCTACGAATCTTTGGTAAAGACTCGCGAACAAATCAAAAAGAGGCTGGCGACTGTCGAGAGGGCTCACACCGAAATCCAAAGCACCATGGAGAGCACAAACAAACAGCGCAAGAAGGACAAAACCCAGATGGAGAAGAACGAGAAGGAGCTGGAGGATCTGCATAAGTTACCTGAAAAAAATCAACGCGAGATCGAAGATTGCACTCAAAAACTGGAGAGTCTGGAAAAGAATAAGGTGACGCTGAATGAAGAGCTCGAAAAGCAGCAGGCCGAGCTCACAAAAACCACGGCCCCATTGACCGAGAAACGCCTGCAGCTCAGTGACGATTTGGTGGGCCTCAACGGGAAGGTCAATGCAGCCAAAACGGAGCTGCAGGTGCTCGAGTCCCAGCTAAAGATCCTCAAACAGGCAGAGACCACCGAGTCCAGGAAATATGCGACCCTAAAGAGCTCATACGAGCAGTCGCAAAAGAGTCTCGAGGAGAAGGTGACCAGGGTGGATGAGTTGAACGAAAGCATTCCTCGCATGAAGAGCGAAATAGCAAACAAGACAGCGGAAGTGGACAAAATGGTCAAAGAGGAGCGTAATCTATCCATGCAGTGCAACAAGCTTCGAACAGAGGTAACAAAGACTTCTTTTTTCTCCAATCTGATAATATACAATTGTTATTTGAATATAATCCTTCTTTCAGATCAACGAAAGATCGAGCGTTATGCAGGCTCAGCGCTCGAATAACAAAGTTCTGAACTTCCTAATGCGTCTCAAGATGGAGGGCAAAATCCCAGGCATTCTGGGACGGCTCGGTGACTTGGGTGGCATAGATGCCAAGTATGATGTGGCCATTTCGACGGCTTGTGGACGCTTGGACAACATTGTCACGGACAGCTATGACACAGCAGCGGCGGCCATTGCCGCCCTTAAGGAGTACAACGTGGGCCGAGCAACCTTCATCACGCTGGACAAGATTGAGCAACATCGTCGCGATGCCAATTCAAGGATAAACACGTAAGTCAATTCTCGATATTTAGATTTACGTGGTATTAACCGCCTTCTAACTGAATTGCAGACCAGAAAACGTTCCTAGACTATACGACCTCGTTAAGGTGGAGGACGACCGTGTGAGGACAGCCTTCTTTTTCGCCCTGCGAAATACATTGGTGTGCGACGACCTGGACCAGGGCACACGCATTGCCTACGGCAGAGAACGCTTCCGGGTGGTGACGCTGCGTGGCGAGATGATCGAGATGACGGGCACGATGTCCGGTGGTGGCAATCGCCCTGTGCGCGGCAAAATGGACACCCAGGTGCGCACCAAGACGGCAGAATCGGCTGACAACTCGCAGATGACACAGAAGGCGCTGGAAGAGATGCAGATACAGGCGGAGGAGCTGCAGGCCCGGGTTAACTACTGCCAGGAGCAGCAGGGTAGTCTTGAGCGCGAGATTCACACCCTGAAGATGGGACTGCAGCGGGACGAGGCGGAGTATAAGAAGCTGGCGGTGAGCATTGCTTCCCTGGAGCAGCAGATGGCCAGCAATCTGAAACAGTGCGAGGCGCAGCGCCAGCGGATGCTCAAGAAGACAACGGACGAGGGTGCCGTAAAAGAGCTCGAGGAGCAAATCAAAGCAGCCAAGCAAGAGGTGGAACAGGCCCAATTTGCCGAGCAGGCTGTAACCAGCCAAATCGAGGAGATCCAGACCCAGTACGATACCCTGAGGAACGACAACGTCAAGCCCGTGGAGGCCAAAATCAAGAAAGTGGGCAGCCAGATCGAGAAGCTGGCCGCCAATGTGCGCTCCCTGAAGGTGGCCTTGACCTCCGCTGATCGCAACATTAAGAAGATCACTGAAAACAATAATAATCTTCGAGAGAACATAACAGCTGCAGAGGAAAAATTGAAATCGTTAAACGAGGACCGCAATAAGTGTGAGGAGAAGAAGAAGGAGCTGGAAAAGGAAGCCGGGGAGGCGGACGCCGCCATCGAGAGTGCCAAATCTCAATCCTCCGATATCAAGAAACAAATTGATGAGATCACCAAGGAGGAAAATAAAAGAAACCTCGATCGCATTGAAATAGATGCTAAGTTGCAAGCGGCTGCAGGAAAGATGAATAAGGTGAAGGCAGAAATTCCCGGTTGGCAGTCTCAACTGGTCCCCTTGAAGCTCAACGAGATTCCTGGAGAAACGGAACCACCAGCGCCCCTCAAAGAGCTCAGTGAGGAGGAGCTGGAAGCTGAGTCCTTGGAGGCGCTGCAGTACAAGCAAACGATGCTGGAGGAAGATCTAAAGACAAAGAAGCCCAACCTGGGATGCATCAAGGAGTTCAACGAAAGGCGCATCGTCTACCTGGATCGCGTCCGTGTCCTGGAGGACATTACTTCCAAGCGAAACGAGATGCGCGACAAGTACGAGGAGGTTCGAAAACGTCGCTACAAGGAGTTTATGGCTGGATTCTTCATCATCACGCGAAAACTGAAGGAAATGTACCAGATGATTACGCTGGGCGGCGATGCCGAGCTAGAGCTGGTGGACTCCATGGACCCCTTCAATGAGGGTGTGAACTTCACGGTGCGGCCGCCCAAGAAGAGTTGGAAATACATTTCGAATCTATCGGGTGGGGAGAAGACTCTTTCCTCGCTGGCCCTTGTATTTGCCCTGCACTACTACAAGCCCTCTCCGCTGTACTTTATGGATGAAATTGATGCGGCGCTTGATTTCAAAAACGTGTCCATTGTGGGTCACTATATTAAGGTGAATATATTCATTACTTATTATTATTAATATGTTCTAACGCAATGTTTTCTATTTCCCAGGAACGTACGAAGAACGCCCAGTTCATCATTGTTTCCCTCCGTGTAAACATGTTCGAACTGGCCAACTATCTGGTGGGCATATACAAAGTCAGCGACTGCACGTCGTCGTGCACCGTGCGAAACCATCCGCCCGACCTGGCCAGTAAACAGGCGACGCATCCGCACAGTCAGTATGCAGGCGAAACGGTCGCGCGGGATCAAACCTTGCCACCCGTGAACAATGAGAACCAATCACCGGACTCTCAAGCCAGACCGTTAGAACAAGTCACCAACATGGCCAAACAGGTGGGCAGGGAAACAACCTTTGCTCCGCCGTTGGAAAGCACGGCAAGAGAAACCATCAGGCCGTCAGAGCCAGGAGGTCAAACGAGCCGTCAGCAAGGAAGAGAAACCACTTTTGCTCCCACAATCGAGAGCACGGGAAGAGGTACCACATTTGAACAAGCTGTGGACCGCGCCGTCGTTATAGATGTACTTGAAGTGCCAAATGCTCCGCAAAGATTATCCACGGATGTTAACTTGGAGAGTCCACCCTCATCCCCAACTGTGGATAATGCTTAAAAGCAAAATATTTATAGTATTATTCCATAGTAAGCTGTAGCTCGATTGAGGCCCGTTTACTCATCTTTATGTTAGGCTGCAAGTTGTAAACGGCAAAAATCGTTATTATATATTAATTTAAACGTTGGTGGGAAAGCGGGCTTTTACATGATTTATATTTATTCAGTAATTTACGATAACAAAAATGATTAAATAATAGTTGTTCTTTAAGAAAACAAACAGTAACCAACGGATGGTAAAGAAAAATGTGTAAAAGGCTCACCTGTATTTTAAGTTTAATAAAGGCAGTTGTTTGGGCAATGTTTTTTATTTGAAAATATTTTGTGATATTTACATAACTAAGTAAAGCTAGCCATAATCCTAGAGCAAATCCCTTCCAGCGCCTCAGTGGTGGTGTTTTTGATATCGGTTATATCCTCGCCAGAGTCGCAGGCTCTGGCTACCTGGGGATCCAGCGGCAAGGAGCCCAACAGCGGCACTCCCATCTCGGCGCACATGGCTGCAGCTCCTCCGGTTTTGGCTGGAAAGATTTCCGAGCTGTTTCCGCAATTGCCGCAACGGAAACTGCTCATGTTCTCGATCACGCCCACAATGGGTATGTTTTGTTTCTTGCAAAAGTTGATCTCCTTGCGTACATCGAGGAGAGCCACCTCCTGCGGCGTGGTCACGACGACGGCCCGAAGGGATTCCGGCTTGTTGTCGTCCTTCAGGTAGGAAACGACCGACAGGTGCTCATCGGAGGTGCCAGGCGGAGTGTCCAGCAGCAGCAGATCCAGACTGCCCCAGTCCACCTCGCTCAAGAACTGTCGAATCATGCCGTTCTTCTTGGGACCACGCCAAATGATGGCATCATCCACGGAGCCAAGTAGAAATCCGATGGACATAAGGCACACATTGTCATCGATTCCCACGGGCGACCAGCCAAAACCAGATTGATGCACGTTCTCCCCCAAGGCGCCCATCAAACGGGGCTGCGATGGACCACAGATGTCGATGTCCAGGACACCAAAGTTGCTCTCCGGACAACTTCTGGCCAGGAAGCGGGTCAGCAAGCTGGTCACCGTGCTCTTCCCCACACCCCCCTTGCCCGACAGTATCAGCAGCTTGTTTCGCACGTCTTTCAGTGACTCTGCCACCAATGCCTTGCCGGGATCTTCGACTTTCTTGCTGGGATCGCTGCAGATGCTCTGGTTGGGACAGCCGGCACAGGCGCTCACCTTGCCCGCCTGTTCGCTCTCCGTTCCAGGACAATGTTCCGGTGGAGGTGCCTGCATGGCTTTAATGGTTTATATGGTAAACTTTATTGTGAAATAAAAAATAGTAGCGCTGATAACCTAGGCCAGTGTGGCCAGAAAAGATTAAATTTTTAAATTTCCTAAGCCAAAGATAAAATTTTAACTTAATTTGAGCTTTTGTATTAAATAATTTGTTCTTCAAAATAAACCTTTTTGTTTTCGTACTAACAAATAAATAGAAACGAATACAAATATTTTGAACTTTTTACAAAAAAGCTTAAATTAGTATTTTTCAGAGTTTTGGTGTTTTTCTTACCCACGCAGACGGCCACACTTCACCAAACTATTGCTTGTCATTGCATTTCGGCAAGTCACAAACAACTTGAAATTTTCTTGAAACCCACGAAAGTACGTTAATAACTGCAACATGGAAACACTTCTGGGTATCAAGGGTCCCGACTTTGTGATGCTGGCGGCGGACACCACCCACGCCCGCTCCATAATCGTAATGAAGGAGGGTAAGCACGGAGTCTCGTTTTTCTTGGCGGCTTGTGCCTCACTTGCTGGCTTTGCTCGCACCTTTTCCAGATGAGAACAAAATCCACAAGGTGTCGGACAATCTGCTAATATCAACCACCGGCGAATCGGGCGACACGGAGCAGTTCACCGAGTTCATTTCGAAGAACATAGCGCTGTACAAGATGCGCAATGGCTACGATTTGAGTCCACATGCGGCGGCGCATTTCACGCGCAAGAATCTGGCCGAATATCTTCGCAGTCGCACGCCGTACCAGGTGTTTATGTTTGTGGCAGGGTAAGGATGCAGTCTATCAGTTAATCCCAACAATATCACATCAATTCCACCATCCAGCTATGATCCCAACGAGGGTCCGGAGCTCACCTTCATCGATTACCTGGCCAATGCCAAGTCCCTCAATTATGCCGGTCATGGCTATGGTGCGGTCTTCGCGTCCAGCATTTACGATCGCTACTGGCACCCCAACATCACCCAGGAGGAGGCCTACGATGTCTTCAAGAAGTGCATTGTCGAGATCCAGAAGCGACTGGTCGTCAACCTCAAGAACTTCAATGTCGCCGTGGTGGACAAGGATGGAGTGCGGAATCTGGAACCCATTAGCGCGAAGAGCCTCGCCGAATACAATGCATCCGCTTAGTTAGGTTTTTATTTGAGCATTCTAAATGCACAATTTGTAATAAAATGCGCCTGGATTTTGGCAAACTTTGGTACGAAGCCGCGGTTTATTATTGAACGATACTCGTATTCCATTATTTTATTAAGATATTTCTTAGGCACAAATCGCTTGATCACAAATATTTTATTTTTTATAAAGAAGTTGAGCGAAATCAATATACTAATTTTTTAAACTGTTGTTTTTAAATAGAGCGTCTTTAATGCTTAGAAAATTATAAAAAATAGGGTTCGCTTAATAGATTAATTTTAAGTTTCAAACAAACTTAAAAAAGAATTCCTTTCAGTATCTAAGTGGTATTTTAATATCCCAAGTATTTTCTTTTGTTCCACTGGCAGTCACACTAAAAGTTGTTACACAAAATAAATAATATATTTTTAAGACAACATGAGCCTCGAACAACAACCAAGCGTGGATCCCCTTAATCCCCATGGACTTGGTGAGTTCTCAGAGTAAACGATTGATCCCGTCCACTGACAATCATCCTGCTAGGTGACCCCAACGATACGAGGTTGCGCAAGGTGGAGCGGGAAGTGCTGATACCCAAGATAATGCGGGATCGGGCCAAGGCGGAATTCTGCTCCAAGGAGGTGGCCGATTTCCAGGAATGCTGCAAGGCCAGCAGCATATTAATGGTGGCCACCTGCCGAAAGCAAAACTCAGCCCTGAAGGAATGCCTCACCCAGTGGTATCAAAACGAGGCCTTTAAGGAGGAGTGCAAACAGATATATCTGCAAGAACGGGCCGATTACCGGAGCACCGGCATACCCAAAAAGCATCGCCTGGAGAAGTTGTAGAATCCTGGGAATAGTTCCTTATTGTTGTTTGCTTTGTACAAAAGTTAAGTAATTGAAACGTCGCACAATTGTCTCTGTTACTCGGGTTTCTTGAAGGTCCTCTGGTTTAGCTATAACCTTAGGTTGATGGACAGTTAGCAGTAGCACATCCTTATCCGAAGTTTCAGCCACTCGTTGAACGCCTTTCAAGTTCTTTGACTTATAGTAATCCAAGTCAGAGGACGTTTGAACAATGACCAGGAAGCTGGCGTGGTACAAACTGGGACTTTGTTTGTAGACAACTAAAACGAGAGATGTTACCGAGTGTTGAGACAGTTTAGTGTCAAAATACTTACGAAAGTCCCCGCCAAACTTGATGCCACTCTTGATCACCCAATTCTTGGACTTTAGATACAAATAGCATGCCAAGTTTTCCACAAATCGTTCATTTAGCTCGATTGCCGCCTTGAAAAACATCTGGAAGTCCATAAGTGCGCCAGTTGGGCTCTTTATATCTAAAATTTCTAAGTAGTAGGCCAGGAAACAGGACTCCTCCATTCCTAGGAGCAGCGTTTCATCTTCATCCCGAGATGCCGGTCCGCCTCGTGATTTACTTCCTTTGCCAAAACAACCATTGTCATACAGCGATTTAGCCCCACCGAAATCAATTATCTCCACAGAGAGTCCTGTAAATCTTCCTTGAACACGATCACGATTTTCGCAACTCGGAAACGGTGTGAAGCTAAAGTTTTTGTTATAGCAGCGCTTTCTTTTGCAGGGAAATGTAAACTGCATTTTTTAGTACGTTGAAAGTCAAATAATTCAACTACTTTAGATTATTATTAAAAATGATTTTAAAACATTCTTATAAAAGCTACAAATAACATTAAGTTTGAAACTATAATTGACAAAATAAATAAATAAATAATTTGGTTCAGGCAAAAATACCAAAACAAAGGTTTTTTGTTTCTCCAGAAAATATTAGCGGTGGTATACTGTAACATTCAACGCACGGTCACACTGAAATAATGGTAAACAAAAACAAAGACTTAAATATAAGACTTAAATTATAAAAAACCGCCTTAAAGTAAGTTGCTTTCCCCTTGAACTTAGTCCTATTATAATAACTTTGTTTTAGAAAAATGGAGGAGGATGAAGTGTGCCGAGTTTGCCTGCAACAGGGCGGAGATATGATCAACATATTTGATAGTGAACCAGAACAGGAAATATGCATTTCGGAATTGATAACCCAGTGGTCCGGCTATCAAGTTCAAAGAGGAGATCTACTTCCGGAAACCATCTGCCCAACATGCCTGCAGGATGCTCGAGCCACATTTGAGTTTACCCGAAAATTCGAAAAGGAGGATTTATGCAGTATTTCGGATGGCGATGGCTCGATTAACGACGTGGGAAGGGGAAACCATGTTCCAGATAATAAAGCCCAGGAGTACCGGGTGAAAAACGAGCCTGTTGATGATGATATATACATGGAGGCAGTCTGTGAAGTATCACGCAACAAGATTGATCAATCAAATAACGACCTGTTCGAGGAAGACGTGTGCAAATTAGAAGTCAGTGAAAATGACAATTCTCTTATGGCTGCATCGGATCATAATACCATTCCAAAGCTTACGGACATACCTTCACGCGAAAAACGGCGCTACAAGTGTTCCCTGTGCCCAAAGTCTTTTGTGGTGGCCTCGCAGTTTAGTCAACATATACTGACCCATTCGGGAGATGATGCCGATGAATGTCCAACGTGGGGTTTGTCTGAACCAGATCCTAGCACCAACGCTTACGAAGAGGACGATTATATTCCGCCGCCTGTAACAGATTCACCTCCTAAAAAAATGCACAGTAAACGATGCCTGAAATCTTTTAAACATGCAACCAATTCAAAGCAACACATTCTTAGTCATTCGAAAGATAAAACCGATAAAAAGGATAGATCAAAATCAGATTTGCCTGCATCAGAACTTAAACCCACTGCTTATATGCCCTACAAATGTAATTATTGTCCGAAATATTTCAAGAATTCAGAATCCCTTAAGTTGCATGTCCGTACACATGGTAAGCGGTTTAGGTGCTCCAATTGCCCAAAGACTTTTGCGGAGGCACAACACTTAAAGAAACACATTGAGGATCACTCCGATAGTCCAAAGACTCCAACTACATCGGAAAATAAGAAGCGAAAGTTCAAATGTCCCCAGTGCCCCAAGTCTTTTCCGTATTCCTCGAGCTGTAGTCGACACCTTTTGAGCCACTCGGAGATACGACCGTACAAGTGCCCCCACTGTCCAAATTCCTACGCACGTCCCTACGCTCTCAGAGCCCACGTTTTTTCCCACTCCGGAGAAAGACCGCACAAGTGCGATCAATGTTCAAAGACTTATTTACGGATTTATCATCTCAAGGCCCACCTGTTGACTCACAAGATAAAGCGGGGCAAGGACAACCCTTACAGGTGTTCCCAATGCAAGAAGTCCTTCCTGTCCAAATCAAATCTGAAGCGACACACCCGGCTGCACTCTGGGGACAAACCTCACAAGTGTGATAACTGCGAAAAGAGTTTTTCCCGTGCCAGCGATCTTAGAAATCACAACCGTTCTCATACGGGCGAAAAACCCTATAAGTGCACTTTTTGCCCAAAGTCTTTTTCGGTTAGTACAAATATGCAAAAACACCAAAGGATGTGCAAGCTTGAAACTACAAATTGACGATAATATCATAGCTTCCAAATATATTTTTAAATAATAAATTGTTAAAGCTTAAAAATAGTTTTTTTTTTGGATGTAAAGAATTTATTTTTTTCGAAATTCAAAATCGTCGATTTTGTAACGGCAATGTTAAGTCGTCGTTTTTGTTTAACATTTCTATGGTAGCTTAGCCGTTTCCTAACATTGGGCAGCGCTGCGGCAGAGGGAAAGCAGAGTAGAGATGGGAAAACATCGATGTTTCCCCACCAAACATCGATCAGATCGATTGAAAACATCGATGACAACGATGTTGGCACGATGTTTTCCCACCTCTATGCAGAAAAGTCACAAGACCAGTCAGCTGAATTTCGGTGCGTAGTGTGAAAAACACTCGGTTATATTTGATAAATTTTCATAAATTCTGTGCTTGAATTTGTGTGTGCCGAGCGTCGTCGCAAGAAAGCCCTCAAAATGACTACCGCCTTGTATTTGCCCGAGGAAAACATCGGTGAGTTGCCGTTTCTGCGCCCCGCACTCGACCTTTGTGGAAAAATCGAAGTGCGAGTGTGTGGGTGTGGGGGTGCTAACTGGCTGTCCAGGGAAGCACCCCATCATATATAACTCCCCCCATTAACCTGGTTTCTTGCACATCCATACGACCACAGACATGATTGCTGCCACCTCGGTGCTGCAGCAGCAGGCGGCGGACATCAGGACCAGGACGATCAACTGGGCATCCTACATGCAGTCGCAGATGATCAGCGATGAGGACTACAAGGCGATCAGCGCCCTGGACAAGTCACGTGCCAGCTACTTGGCCCAGAACTCCAGCCAGGTGGTCAAGACGTTGCTGAATCTGGTCTCCCATCTGTCCAAGGACTCGACCATCCAGTACATACTCGTGCTGCTGGACGACCTGCTGCAGGAGGATCGCTCGCGGGTGGATCTGTTCCACGAGACGGCCGGCAAGCTGAAGCAGTGCATCTGGGGTCCGTTCCTGAACCTGCTGAACCGCCAGGACGGCTTCATCGTCAATATGTCGTCGCGCATCCTGGCCAAGTTCGCCTGCTGGGGCCACGAGACCATGCCCAAGTCCGATCTGAACTTCTATCTGCAGTTCCTCAAGGATCAGCTGGCCAGCAATGTAAGTCTGCATGTGCGTGAGCTAGGGATGAGCCCTCCGAGAGCATGTTTATGTTGTCTATGATCTGTACATTAGGGCAAAAGAGCATGTGAAGAATGTTTCAGCAACTACTTTTAAGCAATTCGTGCACTGGTGAAAGATTGGATAAAATGCCTCCCAGTGCAAATATTGCTAATAATTCTTGCACTGGTGTAGAATCAAACGGCTGTCATTTCAATTAGAATTATTTAAACCCCTTAGAAATTATTGGGGTTGAGCCCACCAGTGCAATTATTACAAATTTTTTTATATATAGATAAAATTAGTATTTTTCTTTATAATTTAGCCTACAGCATGTGATGTATTCTAAAAAGTTTGATAACCTATAACTTGTTGAGATAGCATGATTTTTGTTTGATTGATTTGAAGTACTTTATTTCTCCTTTCCAATTGCAAAATGTTAGATTGATGATTGTAGAGATTTTAAACTAATCCCTTGACTATTCTCCATGCATAACTCATTCGATATGAACTTGAATTAATTACCTAACTCTGTTTAAAGCTAACAAACCTAATAATCAACTGCCTGCATGCTTTGCCAGTTTTTCTTTCTGTATACATATATAAGTATATCTAATTAAAACCAAACAAAACAGACCTCGGATAGGTCCAGATACCAAACAAAACTGACCTTGTCTTGGTTAAAATACTCGTGAAATCTCAGCAAATGAGAAGTCCACTTAATGAGTTACTTACATTATGCCATACATCAGCACTCAGAATCTTGTCACTTCATATTCAAACCGTATATTATCCTGGATATAAAATCCGGCCACGTCACCCCTCCCGATCATCACGTGCAGTCGTGTGTCATGTCTCACAGCATAGCACCAGAATATAATTTTGTTATTTACCTTGTGTTCTTGTCATCAAAACGTATTTATCTGTTCCGCTGCACTTGAACCCTGTGAACAATTTTAATTTATATGCAATTTACCATCTATGAATCGATTGAATCGATGTCTGTGGACGAACCACCCCCACGTCCTACGACCCACGACCTCTGATCCGACCCTAGGGCTTAGCGTATCTGCAAGAGATGGCCCTGCTGGCCAAGCGGACACAAACGATCATTGTGCACACGCATCAACAGCATGGCAAAGACAAAGACCACCATGGCCACCAGTACAGTCCCACACTGGCCCAGCTGCAGCAGCAGCACGAGCTGGCCGAGAGGGCCAACGAGAGCTATCGGGAGGTGGGC